GAGGTATGGCTTGGTCTAGAATATGGTAGGACGGCCACGAAAGACGGCCACGCCGCTATTGGTCAATTTCTCAGCAAGCTCCACGCTGCTATTGGTCGGGGTATCAGCTGCTACAGTGAGGGATAGCTAGCGGTGGGGAGGGCTGCCGGCGTTTATCCACAGCTTTTAGGGGCAAAAAACGTCAACCTTTACGGCTATAATCACTCCACTTCGGTGGATAAGCCACAAACAGTCATTTGTGCGGCTCTTAGCTCTGGAAACCTTACAGGTAATGAGTGCGTGAGGGACTTGGGTCTAGATAACGTGTTACCAGTAAAACCATATTTCTACCTCCATGGTAAAACGCCGTACGGGAAAATTCCATGGGCCTTTCATAAATTATGTAGGGACCAGGTAAGGCACCGTACAGGTGATATTGGCGTGGCCCTTTCATCTAGGGAGCAGGTAAGGCACCATACAGGTAATATTTGCGTGGCCCTTTCATCTGGGGAGCAGGTAAGGCACCGTACAGGTAATATTTGCGTGGCCCTTTCATCTGGGAACCAGGTAAGGCACCATACAGGTGATATTGGCTTGGCCCTTTCATCTGGGAACCAGGTAAGGCACCGTACAGGTGATATTGGCGTGGCCCTTTCATCTGGGGACCAGGTAAGGCACCGTACAGGTAATATTTGCGTGGCCCTTTCATCTGGGAACCAGGTAAGGCACCGTACAGGTGATATTTGCGTGGCCCTTTCATCTGAGGAGTAGGTAAGGCACCGTACAGGTGATATTGGTGTGGCCCTTTCATCTGGGGACCAGGTAAGGCACCGTACAGGTAATATTTGCGTGGCCCTTTCATCTGGGAACCAGGTAAGGCACAGTACAGGTGATATTTTGCGTGGCCCTTTTGTCTGGGGACCATATTAGGCACCGTACAGGTAATATTTATGTGGCCCTTTCATTTGTGGACCAGGTAAGGCACCGTACAGGTGATATTGGCATGGCCCTTTCATCTGGGAATCAGGTAAGGCACCATACAGGTGATATTGGCGTGGCCCTTTCATCTGGGGAGTAGGTAAGGCACCGTTCAGGTGATATTGGCGTTGCCCTTTCATCTAGGGACCAGCTAAGGACTGTACAGGTGGTATTATCGTGGCCCTCTCATCTAGGGACCAGGTAAGGCACCGTTTAGGTGATATTTGCGTGGCCCTTTCATTTGTGGACCAGGTAAGGCACCGTACAGGTTATA